CTCTCACCCATTGAAACACAATCCCATAAAACCTATTAATTTATTTCACTATTCATTTAACGAATCAAATCATATTTTTATATAAATAACTTCAAACATAGAATTTGCAAATTTTATAATATAACTACTGAATGAATTTATTGAAAATTATTATATTAGAAACGTTTATATTAATATAGATTATTGAAAATTATATAACAAGTGCTCACATATAAAATTATATTTCAAAATTTTGTCAATCCGTTCCGTTAATAAACATTTATAATCTGATTGTTTTGTCAACAAAATAAACTTTTATTAGCAAAAATATAGATTTATTGTTTGTTTCACATAAAAATAATATCAAACGATTGTTTGTATTGAATTAATATACGGTATGTTTTTATGTTTAGCTAATACTTGTGGTCTTTGACGAAGAGTTTCTCACCGGCGGAGGCGCCCGCTTGACCGCCGACATACTTGCCCTGAGAAGCTTCACTGTTGGCCTTTTAAGAGTTATAAAACATTAATAAATATTATTAAACTTGTAGTCAATTACATACTTTGGCTCTCTTAAGGAACTCAATCTGTCCGGCCTTTACATTCTCTTTTTTCCCGCTCCACGCCTTTAGAGCACTGGCCTGAAGGGCACGACCGTAGCTGAAGGTCAGAGCCCACGGTTTCTTTCCCTGATATTGATTGATTGCATTCAAGTGCACTGAAGCCTCTTCTTCCGATTGACCACCAGATAGGAAGACAATGCCTGACATAACAATGCATTTATGTTAACAGTAAAACCTAATTATTAAGAGTTTTGCACTGAGACCTGGAAGAGCTGGCGGAACGGTTCGTTGCAAAGCCTCGATTGTAGCCCTACCGATGTCTTCGGGTTTATATTTAGTTTTGCATTCCTGTCCGGCGGTCACCATATTTGGTTTGAGAAGAGCGCCCTCCAGATAAACGTGATGATCGCTCAATGCTTTAAAAACTGCGGCCAAAACCTTTTCGGTAACCTTTTGGCACCTTTCGAGGTCATGGTTTCCATCGGGAACTATCTCTGGCTCAACAATTGGCACCAGTCTTGCCTAAAATTTGTTGACTTAGTTGTTAGACATCTTTTGGACAATACATGCATACCTGTTGACAAGTGGACGCATAACGAGCCAAAACATTAGCATTTTCGAGGATAGCGAGGGGTGAGGGCTCGTGATCTTTGATCTTCAAAACGCACCGGTATTTAGCGAAACGACAGCCGTCTTTGTAGTACTGCTCGCATCTCTTCAGCAGATCATCCAAACCCTGTGTTGTGGACTCATCATTGGTGCCCAGAAGGGGCACAACTCCTGTATCAACTTTAATGCCAGGAATGATACCTCTCTTCTTCAGGATCTCCACAAAAGGAGTGCCCGAATCGTCCTTTTGGTAAAGGGTTTCGTGAAACAGAATAACACCACTTATGTATTGATTCATTGTTTGGTCACACGTGAAGAACATCTGTCTGTACTGTCGTCTCAATTCTTCTTCATTCTTAGCCCCAATTGATGACAATTTCTTACCCGCAGATCCTTTAATGCATTCATAATTGTTAAACACTTTAAATAAAAATCAACTGATTTTTACCAGTGCTCTCATCGGCGGCTAACAAACCCTTTCCACTGACAACCATTGCATTCGCGGTTGTCTTCAGTTCCTTCTGAACATCTTTTGGCAGATAATTAAAATATGCCATTATTTCAATGTATCCAACGATTCAATCATAAATTAAGCACAAAATAATTGCACTTCACTATCAGTTAACAATTGCTAAACTTCTCGTTAATTAATTTGAATTTAAATAACTAAACGCTAAACCGATCGCGAGTTTATTCATAATAATGACAACAATTGAAAATTAACTCAAAACACAAAATCAGTTTGAATTGATTTGTAGCGACAGTTATATTGAATAAACAGTTGATCCCATAAATAAAGACAATGTGTAAATGTTTGCTGACATATCTTTGTTGCTGTTTTAAAGGGGAAGACGAAGAGACCAAACGAAAGAGAAAGATGAAGACCGCAAAAGTGTTGTCACAAATCGCCAAAGAGAGCAAATGGCCGGAAAAAACAACACCCAATTCAGTGAAGACCAACGAAATGACAAATATTTTCAGAGTTCCCGAAGACTTCAAGACAACGGATTTGGCCATTGAGTCCCAGGGCTTTAAAATGGGCACAATGATAGGCGAAGGCGGCTTCTCGAAGGTCCACGAGGCGCAACACATCCAGAAGAAGTTCAAAGTGGCCGTCAAAGTGGTCACAATTCCGGACAAATTCGCTGACCCCGGGAAGTACTCTAACGTCATCATTGACATCAAGAACGAGATCTTTATCCTACAATCCCTACGCCATCCGCATATCATCGCTCTTATCAATCACTTTATGATCAGTGAGAAGAAAGTCGAAAAACTCTATGTGTTTATGCAATACGGCGTCGGCGGCACTCTATCCGACTATTTGGCCGCAGAGGGGGCTAATGGAGGCCTACCGGAGCCCCAGAGCCGCAAATTCACGGTTCAGATATTGAGCGCTTTGGCGTTCATGAAAAACAAGGGCATCGCTCACAGAGACCTCAAGCCCTCTAATATACTGTTGGACGAGAACCAGGACCTACTGATCGCCGATTTCGGACTGAGTCGTGTGATCGGCACCATTGCCTCCGAT